GGTTTGGGAAATATCCCAAAAAAAATCCCTAACTGCATTAGTGTAAACATTTAGGTTTTAGGTCCGAATGATCCTTGGACAGTAAAACATTTTAGATACCAGATGTTCCCCACAAACACAGTAAACTGTCTTAATAAAAATGTAAAAATTAATGATTTAGGATTGGAGGATAGAAAAAAACATTAGCTCAGTAGTTGGAAAGTCAAAGTCTTTGTCATAATAGATAAATGTGTGAGTGCTGTCAGAACGGATGACTGGACATAAACCATTAAAATTAAAACCATAGGCCTACTGAATTTGTGGAAGAGCTAAATCTTTGTAGACATCATGAATTGTTTTTTGCATGAGAGGGTGAGAACATGTTATTCTTGCTGGCTTAAATATCACTGTCTGCTCTGTGAGGACACAATATGCGCAACAACACCTGTCAGCATCCCAGCGGGTATGCGAGACCCCAGATCTACAGGTGAGAACAAGTGAAGGAGCAGCTTTTTGTAGGCTACATGGTGTTCATCACAACTGAGGTCACACCCTCTGTATAACTGCATAACCTTCAGACTCTTGACGGAATGCAAGATAAGATATCTGTGATCACTGAAGTAGGCTACATCACGACTGGGCTCAAAAGTGTTTGTCCGCCATCTAGTGGATTAGATAGACAATGCATTTGCTTTGTCGTGTCATTTGACAGGTTTTTGACATTTATTGCTTAAAACTAATATTTATTTTTCAGTTACGTTATCCAATAGTGATTAGTATCTTTTTCAATTTCAGTAGTAACTAATTATTGTGACGAATTAGACTAGAGACTAATATTTACTCCAGTAGTAATATTCATTTAATTACTAGTACTTGTTCATTCGATATTAGTGTTTTGTTAAATGATTAGGTTTCTGTTTTTAGAAGCAAGTGGCTATTAGGAATAGTTGAATAGTTACTGGTAACCAGAGGCGGACAGTAAGTACATTTACTTTGAGTATCTTTACTTTACTTGAGTAATATTTTTTCTGGAAACTTATGACTTTAAC